ACTCACACACACGCACACACACATACACACACACTCTCACACACACTCACACACTCACACACACACTCACACACACACTCACACACACACTCACACACTCACACACACACTCTCACACACACACACACACACACACTCACACACAAACACACACTCACACACACACAGAGTTAATAAACATAAAAATACATTTCTAAATTATTTTTAAAACTCCACAAGGACATTTTAATTAGTGAAAAAAATTCCTCATGATAACCCATATCATGGTGTGCCACTCAGACCAAGGAAGACATAGAAAACAGAGGTACATTCTGTCTGAGGGGTGCTCCTTCCTGGAAGGGTGGACCATGGGCAGATCATTGTGAGGTATGAGGAAACACTCATAAGAAACACCACATTAAAGACCCTGACCCTTGAAAATTAAAGCAGAAGTACGTGGAAATAAAATGTATAAACCATATCAATAAAAACAAACGACAGGAAAATGCCATACATTTCATAGTATTTTTAAATAATTTATGCACATAAGTTTATTCAAATATCACAATTTTATACCATGAGAATATTTATTTTACAGGTGATTTTTAATTCTTTTACCATTGTTTTATTCTTTTCTAGTGTCTCTTTTTTCTACACTTTTAAAACAGAATTTGTCAGAAGTTAAAAGAGAGAAACACATTCTTCTTAGTGAACAATATCACATTTAATTTAGAAGTTACATAACTTGTCTATCCAGAATTGAAGCTGCTGGGGTGGGTGGGTGGGGGTCACACTTATTAGTGGGTCCCAAGGTAGCCCTGAGGTCTAAATAGGAAAATATCCTGTATAAACTGTAGCAAAATTCTCATCTCAAAATAAAACGCTCTGGAATTTACAGTTATAGCCATAGTCAACATCTTTACAACATTCAGAAAAGTTTTAGAAATGACAAAGGAAATCGCTTCACACTCTGGAAACAGTTCCAACCAGGAAGGCAGAACCTGACCCCTGGCTGTGCAGAAGTCTGCTCCATTCCTCACCCGTCGGTCTCCGCTGCAGATTCTCACACACCCAGCAAATTCTAGGCACAACTCCTGTCTTGCTCTTGTTTGCTTTTTAAAACTACCATTTGGACCAAGAAAATTCATTGTAGCGGACTGTGCTGTCACTTGAATGGAGCACTGGGTTCTCACGCCGTAGCAGGCCCCAAGCTGGCGCCACTTCTGGACACATGTGTCCACTCTCCGTCAAGTGTACTCAGAGTCGCACCATCCTGAACCAGTTTCTAGAACTTCCTAACTGGTGTTAGTTAGGCGCCTGATTACTATTCTTCAAGTCTATAAACACAGTCTACTGCTCTGCCGAGGATGGCCAGCTTCATTTCTCTCCCATCTACATTTTCTTTTAAAACAACGGAAGTCACATCACAGCCCAGAGAATGTTTTCAAAACCAGAACTAGTCAGCCAATCTAATACCGAGGCAGACTGGGGTATCCCAAAACTCCCTTAGATAACATGCTGTTCTAGGGTGTCCACCTGGGTCAAGTCCCACAGAATATACCCCCTCCAAGCAGAAGGGCAGCTATGGGAGGATACGAGAGCTCTTCTGGGGGATCCTTTCGGGTCTGGGCCCATCGTGCAACTGAGGCACATCAAAGCCAGAGCTAACCCAGATGCAGTGGGTTATCTGCTCTTAGCCACCTGGGTCAGCACCATCTTCTAATAGCACAGCCTAGGGTGTAAAGACTCCAGCCATGTCAGCTTTCACATTATTTGGGGACTCCAGGTAGACCCTCAGGCCTTGCAATCTGCCTGAAACCACACCTCAAAACAGGTCACAGAGACACTCCTGGGGGTTCACTGTGAGCCACTGTAGCTAGTACATTTACAAGCACATACTTCTGGCCCTTCAGTTTGCACATGTCAGTGAAAATCATACATGGTCGGTCCCCATTAATATAGCCTGCTGCTGAGGGCGGCCAACGCACAATGGTGGCTTCACCTTTCATTACAGTCTTACTTCAGGCCAGGGCAGAGTGTGAAAACCCCATGTGTAGCAGGTAGCATTCAATGGCAACACCTGAAAACCAGCCAAAGCAACCCAGCCAGACCAACCCAGGTAGCACTGTTGAGCGTTTAAATAATAATAATAAATACAATAAAGCCTGCAGAGGAATTTTCAGTCACTTATCTAAAATGTCAAGGAATAAATATGTGAATACAGGGCAAAGAAATGAATCGTTGACTCGAGTTACATAAATGTCCAGAGCTGGTAATGGGTGACTAGGAAGTGGCTTTTCACTCTGTGTGGCTAACTCTACCCTGGTCTGATGGTCCCAAGTATCCTTCTGTTATAAAGGTGACTTTGTTGTTTTCTAAGATTCCATCATGGTCAGTGTTCCCTCCTTCATTCTCTAGAAGTCCTGGCCCTCCCTCCACATTGTTGTCCAGCTCAAAGGGACCAAGGGCTGGCGGCACAAACCAGAATCCAGACTGTGACCAGCACTGGAGAACTCAACGGGAACCCTGCTGGAATTTCCCAACCACTAGAACAGAAAAGCCCCCTCACTGTACAGCAGGATGGAGTCTACAGTGAGAGGCCGTCACTCTGAGCAGCATGGGAAATAACTGTTGATGCCTCCCGACTCCTGGGGACTGGAGCCAGCCCCCTTCCCACAAGCCTTGTTCTTCTCTAGAAAATCTTAGCTCCATTCCAGAGACCTGGTCCCAGCTGGGAAGGAATGGGACATGACCTCTTGGCACACCCTCTCTGAGTCTATAAAAACCCATTTTCTAGCCATTGTCATGAACCCTCCCTTTCCTGATGTACAAGAGGAGTCAGGGGAATCCAAAGCTGGGCTGGAAAACCCCTGGCCATTTTGACTTATTTTCAGAGGTATCGGGTGTGGCCCAGCAGCCTGGAAGGGGCTGAGGAAGGTGTGAAGTCCCTCCTGTTACCTCCTGTCCTGCTCCAGGGCAGCAGGCACACTGCCATGGAGGCCACGGCGGACCAAGTGTGCAAGGCTCCCTGATCTTTCCTGGGGCTCTCTGTGGCTTCCTGGAGAATGACTGTGGATATTTCATCCTTGAAAGCAAGGCAAAAAGACCAGGGGTGCAGTGAACAGTTCTAGGGGGTTATGGATTATCCATTTCGGTGTCAGTCACTTCTGCTTATCTGGAGGTAACTGTTAACACAAGGGTCACACCCAGACGCAGCCACAGCCATATCCACAGCCATTCCCACTGCCGTGGTCCCCATAAATCTCCACTGAGACAAGTCCCAAGATCTCACTTAGAAACAGCAGCTCTGGCACTATCTTGGAAATATTTCTTCTGTCCGGTTTAATCCTAATTGATTTAAACATCAAAAAGATTTAAAATACACTTCAACTTTTCCCCTAACTCTATTTATGTATAAATCCCTGAGAAGACACCTGTTCACTTGGAATTCACTATTCACAGTTAATACACACAAAGGCAAGCAGATCCCCAGGCCTGCTCCTCTGCTCTCCCAAGTCAGGAGACAACCAGACAACCTGCAAAAACAGGACCTTTGTGGGAGCTCAAGCTGGGTGTCCAGGAAAAGCCCCCTAAAAGCAGTGGGGCTTCCTATAGCCCCTGCTGAGAAGTCACAGTTCCAGTGACTTCAGCAGTGGTCACCTTGGTACTTCCCACTGCACTGGAATACAGCTCCCCCTCTGAAGCAGGGAAATGGAATAAAACGGTTAGTGTTTTATCTGTGGACAAACAGCATGAGGAACGTGGATTGCAAGCATTTTGGCACTGCCTTGGCTCACAGTGGCGGGGCCTATGACAAGCTAGCTAGTACTGCAGGTTATACGTATACGACAGGAAGACACACAATGCCAAAAGAGACAGGGAAGATGGCCCCAAAAGATAACTGAGGTTGCTTGTGGTCCTCACAGCCCCCAAGGAGATGTAGCCAAAACAAAGTCTTGGGTTGCAAGGGTGAACCCAGCCAACTAACATCAACAGCTGTAGAGGAGGGTCAAGACCCCAGCATTCACCTTGGTACCTTTCTAGGGTAAAAGAGAAACTTACTAAATATGATTTATAAACACTGAATGGTGACACCAAAAAAAAACTCCTATTTTATGGAGTTTGGGGGGAGGCTAGTATGAGATCTCTCGTTGCTCGATGTCTAATGGCATGGAGGAGGAAAAGAATAAGATTAAACCAGTGCCCCCTCCTACGTGCACCCACAGTGTGGGATGGACCTCAGCAAAGGGCTTCCAAATCAGCCTGTAGTATTCTGAATCTATTGCTTCCAAGTATTTACATTAAATATTCAAATAAAGTGCATGATACGGATACTCTAAGACCCAGCTGGGATTTTTTTCAATGCTTTGGAAATAAGAGAAAGACAGAAAGAAAGAGAAAGAAAACTTTCACTGACAGTTTGGCACCCAAGGTAAATCCCATCCCCACCAAAGTCCCCACATACTGGAAGTTCTACAAAGTTGGTATGGGAATGAGCCAAACCTTGGGGCTCATCAAAGGGGAACTGTACGTCAAAACGCACAAGGGACTCTCTGGAGGAGAGGGCCACCATGAGAGTGTGGCTCGCTCCAAGAAAACCTTCCCCAAACCACTGTCCACCATCCAAGGTGTACCACCTGTTCTAACGGTCACCTGTCTGCCTCTCAGCATTTTTGCAGCATCCCTTACCCTCTGCAGCTTTGGACATTTTTAAGGATATCCATGTTTGGTTTTTTTTCTGAGCACATATGACTTGGTTTCTACCACTCATTTGTTAAATCTGCCCCCTTTAAATAATTGTTTTCCTCAAATCCTCTGGAAGATGGTCTATCCAAGCCCTTTGCTTTAAATGAGTTTGGTCCTAGCAACATATACACTCTTGCAATATGCCATATTACTTTCAATGATGATGATGATGATGATGATGATGATGACGATGATGATAGGAACAAAAGAATTTAAAAACGAAACGAAAGTAAGACTTCCATCCCACTTGATCATTTTGAATAGCAGTCCGTGCCTTCATCAAGTAGAAACAGGCATTTGGCATCACTCAAGTTCAAAGGAAAAGCCAGTGCACAGGTGTGTCCATGGGACACGAGAAGGCAAAGGCCAGAACCAAATGGCAAAAGGGGAGAATCCCATGAGTCCTGTGTAATTCACACAGCCATTACAAGTATTTATTGCTAGAGACGGCGTTTTTAAACAAAGGGTCTTAAAACTGCCTTAATTTACAAAGAGCCTGCCATTCGAAAAATGCTGCAATTTTTCATAAATAACAAAATACAAAAGTATGCGAAAATGCCCTTTGATAAGTTAAGTTTTTAAATTCTTAATTGGGGTCCTCTGAGGGGTGACTTCTAGGCAAACTGCCCTTTGGGTGTATAGATTGCTCAGGGAACTAGTTTTAAGCAAAAACCATCTCTAGTCTTTTCAATTCTGTCTTGGGAGCAATGTGAACCCCACTTCGTGGGTCTGGGAAAGGAGTACGGCCCAGGCAGAGGCTGTGTGATACAGCATGCACCCCATGGCAGAGAGAGGCACCCGTCTCGTCTCAGTGGCGCGGTCTACAGCACCCGCAGCCTCCCAGCTGGATCCTAGCGCAGCCTCCCCACACCAGGCGCACACGCAGTGGGCATCATAGCCTCCTTTCACGTCCTTTTCCTCCAGCGTGGCGCCCGCTTTTCCTTTTGAGCCTCTGCCTGGCGTTTCTTCTCCGCCTCCTCCGCCTTCCTCTTCTCCTCCTTGGCCTCCTTGTACCGCCACTTGGGGATCTGCAGGTGGATGCTGTCCTTGGTGTTGCCCTTGGGCGCTGCGCGCTCGGGCTGGAAGGTGGGCGCGGGGGCCTTGGAGATGCGCACTCTGGGGACCACCACACCTGGCCGCACGCTGCTCCTCCGCAGCAACTGCAACGGCAGGAGGCTGGCCTTCCGAGAGACAGGGGCAGGGGTGGATCCTGGGGCCCCAGAGGACTGGAATGGCCAGGGGCTGGCTCTGGGACCCTCCAAAGTCTGGAATTGCGGGTCAGAGCCCTCTACCTTGTTGCTATCCAGAGCACAGGCGTCCCGGTTCCCCCTAGCTGCTAGGATTTCCTGCACTGCCAGGCGTCGTTTCCCCACACAGGGAGGGTTCTCCGGGCACACGGTCTGGCAGACGACAGCAACAGCTGGGCTATAGAGGCTTGTGGTCATCCTGACCATGTGATCAAGGACGCCTCCATCCTCCAGGCTCTGGCCTGAGCGGGAGCTCAGAGCGGTCCGCAGGAACTCGGTGAATCTCTGAAAGCAGTTTTTGGAACCTGGGGCCTTCAAGAGCCCCTCAGGGGGAAGCGGCAACTCCGGCTTGTACTTGTCTCCGAACTGCTCTGGGCACGGTCGCTCCATAAGCCTCTGTATGACACGAACAGCCTCCACTCGGCCAGTGTATGCAGCCCACTCCTGTGGTGACATGCCACGACGGGGATCCCTCGCTTGAACATCTGCCCCTGAAAAACAAAAACATACATGCATCAGGGGTCGGGATGACCAGGAGGCTCTTCCACGGGCAAAGAATGATGGTAGAATTTGGGACAGTCATGCTGGTTAATTTTGTATTCACTTGGTTCAGCCAGAGTACCCAGTGGTCTGACTAAACCCTGAGCTGGGCACAAGCCTAGAGAGATTGGACTCTAAATCAGAAGGGTTATTTTTCTAAATGTGTGAGCCTCATCCAATCAGCCGCAGGCCGTAAGAGCAGCCACAGGTTTCCTGGAGCTCCCAGCCTGCATACCCTCTACAAATTTCAGACTCCTGAATCCCCACGATTGCATAGGACAACTCTTTAAAACGAACCGCTTTACTTATGTCCCCCGTGGGCTGTTTCTTTAGAGACTTTCCAGGGACGTCCCTATGTTCCTTATATGGGTTACTTCCTGGAAAATCTCTCTTCCATGTCCCCTTCTGCAAAAGACACTGAAGACTTACACCCCAACTCAGCTGAGATCTGAGTACCTGCCAACTTCCGCCTTCTCAAATGGATGCAGAATTGCTGTTGAGTTCATCTTGGTCCAATCTCAGGCCAATGTAGTTAAAAATCATGCAGGAGTTCAAGTCCTATGACTCTCCGCTGGCAAAGCATCCGGGAGAACTAGGGCAATTATCTAGTCTGTGAGCTCCCCAGGGACCCCCCCCCCCCGACAGCGGCACCTTCATTTGTATCTCACAGAGACCCACACGTGGTAGAGCATGGTGGGTGATCAGTTGTTCTGAGCCAAGAGTGTGGGGCTCAGGCACCTCCCTGCCCTGCAGGCCCACAGTAGTCTCGTGGCTGGGAAGACCACCTCCCCAAGCTCACCTGCTCAAAGCCTCAGTCCCACATGCGACGACACATTAAAGAATCCCCGTCTTAGGAAAGTGGCAATTATTTGGAACTGGAATTCAGGAGGAACTCATTAGCTAGAGCACAATTTATAAACTAGGGAAAATGGAAAAGGGGGCAGTAAAAATGCCACTGCAAAAATAGATGACACATTAAACCTTAATTAATTGCATGTCACTTTAAAAGGGAACAAACTGCGAAATTAAAACTTTAATGAACACGGCATGAAAGAGACATTTTTCAAATGCTAATGAAAAATGAAAGGAACGGCCGTCCGGAGAGTAGCAGTCTTCCTCCTACCTTTTCACATGACCAGAAAGCAAATGTGTAAATCAAGAAGACGAGCCAATCCTTCTACAGCAGCCCCGGACTCCAAATCACCAGGCTCCAAGGTAGTGACCCACTTCCTCAAGAAACTACTGCTAAGTACGACAGCAACTGAACTATGAGTGATGAGCACAGCTGTCCCTGGCCTCCACAAGGGACTGGGCCCAAGACCCCCACTGGATACCAAATTCTGAGGTGGCTTGGGTCCCACATATAAAATGGTACATTTGCACAGAACCTATGCACATCACCCTATATACCGATATACTGAAACAGCTCCTGATTACCCATAATCCTAACTCAATACAAATGCTCTCTATCATTGCTACACTGTGTTTAGGGGATGGCAACAAAAAAGGTCTGTCCATGGAGAGAGAGAGAGAGAGAGAGAGAGAGAGAAAGAGAGAGAGAGAGAGAGAGAGAGAGAGAGAGAGAGAGAGAGAGAGAGAGAGATCTATCAGAGCCAGATGAACTCACAGATATAGACTCTTAAGACATGGAGCTGGAAGAACTTGTTTCAGTGCTGGGGATTGAACCTAGGACCTTGCACATCCCAGGCAAATACTCTACCATCCTAGAAGATGATTCACAACGCACTTCATACCAATTAACATAACCGAGTAACAAGAGCTTGGGAAATGCTGCTGAGCCCATCTCCTTACAGTGGATCACCGGGGTCCCACTTGCAGCCCACACCACTGCACCCACTGAACAAAACTGGAGACATGACTTGGGTTCTCATGGTTGTGCCTACTGGCTGCCATGCTGTGCGCTGTAGGTTGCCTACACAAAATGCTCTACTACACTCCAGGAAGCATTATACTCAACTACACACAATGCATCATGGTTGGTCTAACCTAGGGTTGCTCAGTGTTGAAAGTACTGGAAATTTCCCACACAGACACACACTAACATGCACACATATGTGAATACCCACACACACCAATGTGTACACACGTATGGAAACACACACAGATACACACCAATGTACAAACACGTATGAACACACACCAATGTGCACACATGTAAGTATACACACACACACACACACACACACACACACACACACACACACACAGGTGACAAGCAGGGTCTGTGACGTCATGGAGCCAAGGTCAACCCTGGGTAGGATCTGCCCACCCCATGGCTTCTAATGAGCTGAGAGAAACAGTTGTCTGCCTTCTTTAAATCATCCCCAGGGTGGGAAGTTTTTGTCGCTGGAGCCATCCAGAGCAAGTGCTGAAGAGAACAGGTGGACCTTCTATCCTCTCCCCTGGGAGGCATGAAGACCCAGGCCCAGAGGGCCTATGAGAAGGAGACGGGGAAGGAAGCAGAATTATGTCACTTCCCTTTTCTCCTGTCCCAGCAGCTACCCTCCATGTTACCTATCCTACAAAACCCAGCCCAGGCCTCCCTCCTGCCACCGCAGACCATCCCTGACATCATCACCATCGAGCCTGCCCTCACCTATAACTCAGGCCCTGAAAGTACAGCCTTGTGATGCAAGGGCCACAACCCAGCAGGGATGGCCAGCCTCCTGTGGGACTCAGCAAGTAGGAACCCGGCACTCCTGGGAAATCAGCAGGATTTCACTGCTCACCTGGGCACTCAGCTCACCTGGACCTCAGCTCACCTGGGCCCTCAGCTCACCTGGGTCCTCAGCTCACCTGGCCTCAGCTCACCTGGGCCTCAGCTCACCTGGGCCCTCAGCTCACCTGGGCCTCAGCTCACCTGGGCCTCACCTCAGCTCACCTGGGCCTCAGCTCACCTGGGCCTCAGCTCACCTGGGCCTCAGCTCACCTGGGCCCTCTGCTGGCATTCCCATTGTGTCTAAGTCTCTCAGAGGCCGTACTGCAGTCCAGTGGCCACAAGAGAACACGGTCACTCTCACCTCCCTCCCCACCAAGCCCCTTCCTAAGGTCACAGACTACAAAAACTACTCCTGGGTCTTTTCGGTGGAGACTCCCTGCTTGTGGGCATCTCTCTGGCTCATTATTTGAACAGGAGATTTCTGTCTTCCTTATAAACTGAAAGCAACTGCTGTGTTGACACAAATCACCTGGTTTCTGAGAAGCGTGTCGTGAAGGCCTGTCTGAGGCAGAGCAGGCATGCAGGGAACAGTGTCTGTGTGAGCTCCTCACCTCCCTTTCTATCGCTTCCATTCCTCAGAACCACAGGAGGACGCTAGGCTCAGGCTGCCGCAATTACATCACACCTCAGGAATAAAGTGAACTCTGTTAAGCAAGTCTGGAACCTGGCAACCTCCATGAAAAAAAAAAAAAGAAAGAAAGAAAAAAGAAACCACATCGTTGACACAGCTCCTCAGAGCCACTTACGGAAATAGACCTGTCACTTTGGTGCATTAATATTCCACCGGGTTAACAAGGTGCTGCATGTCCCTTTCGATTCTTATCAGAATGGCTGACAGTATCAGGAAGCCTGATCCAAACAGCCGCCAGGTCGGTTTGCAGAATTGGCTGCATTTGCCATTAAATTCAGAGTTCCGATAATCCTAACATTATTTTATTCTACATGACAATGCAGATAAGGGCTGACATGTGCCTGTGTGCTGCCGACTGTGGGAAAATCTAAAGGGTTCAGGGGGGGTCAGCCAATTCAATCATTCATCATTCTAGGTGAAGTGGTTCCAACCGAACGTAATAAAACTGCAAGTCAGAAACTCAAATCTGGTGTTAAAAGCACTCAGGAACTGAGAAGTCCTGCATTGTTAAAAAAAAAAAAATGGATCAAGATACACGTGTTTTACACTAATATGTAGTACTGCACGTGCCTTCTGCATTTATGATAATCATAGATGACCATTCTGGAGTCAGCTATTGAATCACTGTCCTCCAGCATACATCCGTGCACTCTATGCTGAGGGGTCAAGTTCAAGAAAAACACAGGCAACTGGCACCTATGAATACCTCCATTTTCTTAATACTATTGTATTTAAATGGAAATGAAAAATCAAAACAGCGGTGTAAACTTTTAAAATATCTCAATGGGCAACCTTACCACTGCCTCACAAACCCAGGGAGGCCACTCACTTACACACTGGTTTCTTTTAAAATGCAGCTACTCTGAAACGAAAACGAAGCTCACGTTCCTGATAATTATAAGCTAAGAAGACAGGTGTAACCTAGAATATTCTAGAGGCTAAGTGCTCCCATCAAACCTTCTTAGGGAGCTCAAATGGACCCTTCAAAGTCGGTGTAGCCCGGAGCAGAGCAGACCAAGGAGGACTGTGTCCAAAATCAGAAAGGTCTCTTCTCTCTCCCCCCACCCCTTTTTTAAATTGTATCCCACTTCAATTAATTGTTTCTGTGGCTCTTGGTAGGAGACAATCACATAGCTGGGGGTCATTTGGCAATATCTGCAGGCATTCTGGGGTGTCCCAACCGGAGGGTACTCCAGTCATTTGGCAAGTGGAAGCCACGGAAGCTGATAATGCCCTACATTGGCAAGATGACCTCCACAGAGATTGAGCTAGCTCCACATGTCGCTAATGTCAAGAAGTTATGTGTTTATTAGCACAGACACCTCATCTGACAAGGATAATTTCCAAGGAGAAAAAAAATATACTGTTTTTCATGCATTCACAAATAACTCCTGATCGTGTAAATGTATCAATAATGAAAGCTGATTGTAACCAGCACGTACTGACAACTCCTGATCCTGTAAATGTATCAACAATGAAAGCTGATTGTAACCAGCACGTACTGACAACTTCCTCCAAGGCCGCACCCTCTCCTCATATGAACAAAATCCCACCTACAAGTCCCTGTGATAAGGCTCTCATCAGTCCTTTGTCACTGTGTGAGGCCCAGAGAGGTTAAGTGACTGGTCCACATATGGGTAAGTAGCAGGCCGCACAGGAAACTGTACTGGCCTTGGGCTTGTTTCTGCTGCACTCTGAAGAACACAGCTGACCATGACATGCACTCCCGATGATTATTCTAGACTTCAGTGGAGAGGGGAGAAGCTCGCAGTGGTGGTGGGGATCAGTGGGGAAGAGGTAAGTCTGTAGACCTTCCGTCAAATGTGTAAGCAAACAGCAGGCATGGGTGGGAGGAGCAATGTTAACACCAAGCCCGAGCGGCCTCATCTTCCAGGGGCCACGGAAGGCATTTCTGAGAAACTGTCAATGCTGCAGCTGATGCCTGAGACAGCAGGAGATGGAAGAAGACACTACAGGAACAGTGATTTCACCCCCTGCCCAAAAAAGTTAATCATTCAAATTAATTAATTGGGGGAAATGCACTCGAGGTGCTGATACCCTAACTTTTGGGCGGAAGAACATAAAGCGGTCAAGATCCACATGTAGTTATAACTATATCCCTAAAAACGAACAGACAGAGCCTCAGATAATCACCATTTAATTAGGAATGACTATTTCTCATTGAAATGGGACAGGAGGGCCTTACCTTTGCAGAAACCATTATCTAGCTTTTAAAAATTAAATTTGGTTGCATGAAAGGCACAAATGGTGGGATTAATTTTAAAATATACTTTAACATGTATGTGCTTATTGAATGTGTGTATGCACACATGCCACAGCTGGCATGTGGAGGTCAAAGAACAACCTGCAGGAACTGGTTCTCTTCCACCATATGGGTCCTGGGATCTAAATCAGTCCCAGGAGTCATTTCTAATGATGACTTTTTTTCCCCCCAAGAACATTTTCTATCTCCCAAGCTTCTTTCCTTGCTCATTAAATCTGGGGTGTTTTTCTTACAGTATTTCCTAAGACATGTAGATTAAAGTGGGAGGAAAGAAAATCCAAGGTTGTGAACCCCACAGCTCCAGACTAATCACAAGGTCAAGGTGGAAAGATGCTGCACATTGCCAAACCACAAACAACCGGTAAAGACAGACAACTGTCACAGACCAGAGGAGATGGAGGACACGGGAACCGCATGTGGGCGCCAGCTGGGAACACAGAGCAGAAATAGGGCATTCATGGAAGGACCGATGTCTAGAACAATGTCACCACCCTTGGGTAACTAGGACCAGAGGAGCCTTGTGATCTGACCTCTGTCCTCAAAATCTCATATGCTGGAACTTGGTACCCATTGTGACAGAAATAAGAGCTGGGGCTGTCAGGACATGCCCTGTCCTGAGAGCAAGGCCCCACATGGGATCAGTGCCCTTTGTAAAGAAAGTCTTAAGGGAGACACCTTGACCCTGCTATATGAAGACACAAGAAAGCTTGAATCCTCGCAGACATCACATCTGCTGGTGCCTTTATGTCAGGCTTCCCAGTCTCTAGAACTGAGAACAGCACATAGCTACTCTTCATAAGCCTTGGATACACGCTGAGCACAGAACAAAAATTATTTAAAACAACCACACAAAGTAACAGCAACACCCTCTGTGGTGTTAGATGCTAACTCTGAACCCACTCTTATGTGCACTTGACATTTTTTTTTTCTCTCAATTAATTCTCAGAGAAACTTGCTCATGTTGTCCTAGCAATGATTCTTTCAGGTTCAGGTCAGGAAAAGAACTGAGATGATCAGTCACAAGGACTGTCACATGGGAGTCCATCAAACATCTATGAAGTGCTATCATATTCGTCCTCGGGGAGGAGGGAGAGAAGGAGGAGGACAGGGGAGTATTCGGGATGTCAAGGAGGACATACAGAGTAAGTACACAGTCATACAGATCCAGCTGCAGCCTAAGGGTATCCCCATGGAGGCTCTGTAGGAGCAGCCCATCCCAAACCCTGTCCCCACCATCTGGGTCGTCATCAACACTGCCATCCTCAAGACACAGGCAGGGCCAGAAGGAACACCTCTCCTTACGCACATGTGTGCTCAGGTGCCTATGCACACATGCACACACACATAAGTAGCTATGCATGTGGAGGCCCAAAGCTGATGTCAGGAATCTCCCTTGAGCGCCTCCATTCAGCTAGTCTAACTAGCCAGCTGGGTCCTGAAATCTCCTTAGTGTTAGAATTCCTTACCATTCCCCAAGCTACATGACTGCATGTGTGCTGTCCAAGATGCTTAGTCATCCTAGGGCCTTACATCCGTGTACTGCGTGATCACATAATTTGCACCCAGCGTGGTCACGCAATGTATGCACATGCATGGTGTAGCTACATAAGCCCATAAGCACATGTGCATTATAGGGGGCTTTGTTGTGCCCCGTGGCTTTTCTCACACAGTAAACAGCACCACCTAATAAATAACATGGCACTGCTTAATAAATAACAGTGTTTTCATCTTCCCAGTGTGGAATTTCAGGCGGGCTGCCATGTCCATTGAGCATTTATGTGGGTTCTTGGAATGCCCATTCCAGTCCTCAGGCACGTGGGGCATCAGTCTACTCACTAAGCATCCACCCAGCCCCCAGAATATGCACTCTTGAAGAATAAATTTGAGCACAGCTACAGAGTCTATAGACAGAGAGGTGAGGGACGATGTCAGCAGGGAGCAATGAGGGGTTCGGGGAAGGGCCAGTGCTGTGATTAATCCTCATTGGCCAGCTCTGACGTCATTTGCTTTTGAGAGATGTAGACAAGATCTCACATATCTCCTCAGCCTGGCCTTAGACATGCTATGTAACTGAGGATGGCTTTGAACTCCTTATCCTCCTGCTTCTGTGCTTGAGTGCTGGGGTTACAGGCATGCATCTCCACACCCAGTTTTGTGCTGTGCTAAGACTGAGTCCCAGGGCTCTGTGCATGCTGGAAAAGCATTCTGCTGACTGAGCTATATACCCAGCTTACTTTTGCCTCTTCAAAGAAACTCAAAGGACGACAGCCATACAGCTCAGGGGGGAAAAAATCTATTCCTCACTGCCACTGTTTCCGTAAGCGGCATGGGTCTACTTAAGATGCATTCTTTAAAAAGAGCCCCCTGGCATTTCTAGAGCCTGGAGACCACACAGGACAGGTGAGCTTACCTGCCAGCATCAGGGCTCGCACACACTCCGTTCGGCCCTGCATGGCTGCTTTCATGAGGGCTGTGAAGCCGAATATGTTCCTCCTTTCTAGGTCCAGACCAGGGAAATAATTCAGCAAGTAGTTGGTGATGGTAGCATGCCCTGAAAGAGAATTATACACGCATGTAGACTCACGTACCCACAAAGGTGATCACTTCTATGTGGCAGAGAAAGACAGACACTGTTCATCATCAAAGAGTGTTGGCTGTCACCTGTGTGTGTGTGCTCTTTAAATCCCGACACAGTTCTCCTGGACACGGGGGCAGAGGAAAGCGGGAGACACTGCTCGGAACACACAGTGCTGTTCATCTGTGGCCCTTCCGTCTCTCTCTGGTGAGGCAGGGGCACAGGTGGGCGGCACTGCCACATGGGGAGAGTGAGTCCACTCCCCCACAGGCAGGGTGTACTCAACTCCCAGCAGGAGTCGCTCCGGCAAACAGAAGCCAGGCTGCAAAGGAGCCTGGGAAACATTTCCAAGTATGGAGCTTCGGTGGAGAGGCACACCGAAGCAAGAATGTATCTTAATTCATGCTGGGCACCTCCAGTTACCACTTAAAATATGTTGTATTTCTCTCTCCCTTTGTTTCTCCCAACTCCGGCTCCACACCACCTCATGTGCATGCACATAAACATACACACACACACACACACACACACACACACACACACACACACACACACACGGCCATAAAACCTGAGCAGGGGAAAACCCACATTTAAGAACACAGATCTTCCCTTTCTCACCTTGTTCCTCACAAACAGAATATGGTTTCTGCTCATTCCCGGGGCTTTTAAATGCCAGGCACTCGCATTAGGGGCCTCTTGGCAGGAACCACAGGTGCCGACAGGAAACCAGCTGCCCACCTAGCAGAGATGGCGGCTGAATCTACCGCCCCAGGCACTCCTCGGCCACCTAGCCCACCTTCCCAAGTCCTTCTGTGATTTATTCCTCCCCACCCACCCTCCGTGATCAAAACCAGGGCCCCAGTAACAGCAGCCTTGTCGCTGGAGCTGGATAACCATATGGGGCTGGCTTGCACACCACAATCTGGCAAGCAGTCTTCTTGGCCCTGTACCCCTAGAACACAAGAGCAACCAACTCCTCCCCCAGCCCTTGACCACCAAGAAAGTATCTAGACATGACCTCCTGCTCCCTGAAGGGGGCTGGCTATGCAAGATCATTTCCACTGTTCTCACTCTTTCCGGACCATCCACATGGGACAAAAAAGTTTCCTTTGCCACCTCCCTGTGTTCAAATGCGCCCCTCCCCTGAGCTTCTCTCTCCATCCTGACCCTGCAGAAGATGGCCAGCAAGCCCTGGGCAACGAGAGACTGCAGAAGCCTCTCTTCCTCTGCCCTGGGGGAAGGTTCTGGGTGCCCAGAGCCATCCCAGTCTTATGCAGGTCAGGCTGTCTCAGTCTCCCGGCATAATCCCGCTCTCTCCACGCTCCTTTCAACTCCATGTGAGACACACAGGTACAGAGTCTCGGGCATTCCCACCCTCTCTGGACTTTACAGCACCCTGCCCTTTACCTTTATGTGTACAGAAGTCAGATCCCTTTGGCCCAGAGTCCCCCTTCCCAGCATGATTCCGGGGCGGAGGTCGAATGGGTGGTACGACCTAGGACCTTGGACCAAGAAACACTTTGGGGGCTTGGGGGCTCTCCTGCTTGCCGCAGACTGAGAAGTCTGCAGCTGGTGGCAGCTCGGAGAATCTGTCACCCTGCTGTGGCTGCAATCCCAGCCAAGCTGGTTTCAGGATGGAGGCGGAAAGCAGAGGAGGCACATATGTCCTCGGCCTTCATTCCACTGGCCAGACCCTCCACTGTGTGAGCACAGTATTAAATCTACCCAATACACTGAGTGGCTTCAGTCAGCCCAACCACACCCAAGTGACACAGATATCCAGGATGGACCCTCTGCGATTCCTTGAGAAGGACATTTTATACTCCAGGCTGCTGTCCATGCTGTCCAAATTGAATCCTTGGCCTGTCAGCCACTTAAAATTTAAAAATAAACAAGCCACATAGACTAGAGTTCTGATTCTTAAGAAGCAGGGCTAAGGCTTACCACCGAGCTCAGCCACGGCTGTGAAAAGGTGGGTCAGCGCCTAGCTGACTGTTACGAAGCCAACGAAACCAGGCTGTGACTCCAGGCCACATTACACACAGGTTCCGACTTGCAATGGTGCTTTTTGGACTCACTGACTCCTTGGCCTCCTCTGTGTGAAGGGGTCAGGATGAAGCTGGGGGTCAAGAGACCATGGTAGCTCAATAGTTCTAAAGCTGGTGGGGTAGTAGAAGACCTTTGCTCTCACGTTAGCTTGTGTCCCGCTTGAACACGTGCTACACCAGTCAGGATTAGACCAGGTCTCAGCGAAACGAATTGCGATTTGTTTCGATCTTTTTCTTTAAAAGAAAATGTGACACTGCATGTCACAATTTGCAGCGGGTGTTGTTTGTACACACACACACACACACACACACACACACACACACACACACACACACCACATCCTTGCCAAGTTGAATGGGCAGAGTGAAGAAAACAGAAAATCTCTAAAGCAAACTGCCCACTGTACAGATATTGTATGCATATTGTGGGATGCATGGGAATCCTGCATCCCGACTGCAGTCTGGAACTCTGATGATCCAAGAGTCTCTCCTCTTCCCCAGGCTTTTCCAGAAGGGAGAATAGCACCCCGACCATGTAGATGGCTATGTTCAGTAGACATTAAAGACATTAACTATTCTCCTTAACAAGCTGGGCAAGTGGAGTCTGGGATGGAGTGGGGGGTAGCTCACGGATGTAGCAATCCAACACTTGACAGCCATGGTAGAGGTCCTGCTTTAATCCCCCAGGAGGATCCATGACCGGTAAACAACAGATGTTCCCTCTCCTCTCCTCTCCTCTCCTCTCCTCTCCTCTCCTCTCCTCTCCTCTCCTCTCTCTCTCTCTCTCTCTCTCTCTCTCTCTCTCTCTCTCTCTCTCTCTTTGTGTGTGTGTGTGTGTGTGTGTGTGTGTGTGTGTGAGACTCCCTACCTCCCCCCAGTGAGCCTTACTCTGCCCAAGAAAAGGGCCCAAGTGGTGCCCAACATAACTAAGAGGTCACCACTATACTTAAGAGAGCTTGCTCTAGAAATACTAGAGTTCAATTCCCAGCCCTGCCCCTCAAAATCCCAAGTGGTCCTGAGAAGGGAACCAGTTTTTCTGTGTCTAGAAAAATAGGGAGATAGTTTCGACGCACAAGGACAAAAGGCACAGCCTTGGAGGTGTGCAGAAGGTTCCCAGCAAAACAAGGCAAACGTAACGTTTCTGGTGCACACTTATACTCCTCAGCATGTGCAAGGCAGAGCAGAAGCTCAAGGTCGTCTCAGCTTCGTAACAGGTCTGGAGCTAGTCTGGAATACATGGGACCCTGCCTCAAAAAAGCAAACAACAAACCAACCAAACAAAAAAGCAAACCTCACATAGAAACTGGAGACCCTGAACAGGGGCTCCACTGTCACCAGGCAGAATAAGGGACTCCTTATTTCTGACTTGAGGGCTGAGCCTGGAGACATCTCTCCAGAGCATACAGAACATGGGAGAGGGGAGTAGGGAGAGGAACTTCACAGTGGAAAAATGCCACCACTCCTGAGCCAGGCGACCAGAGTTGTGCTTGTAGCACATGCCCTTTGAAGATGGGATGAGGTGGCCCTGTGCATGCTGATCCTACAAAGAACTCCTAGCTGCAATCCAGTCACCAGGAAAGTACCTGACATGGCTCAAATAAGGGACGTCCTCCAATACACAAAACTTGTGTGCAAATCTATCAGGATCGTCAAACACCAGGGCAAGCCGAGCAAGTGTCACAGCCAAGGAGCCCAGAGACACAGAACTGCAAGATGGAATCCCAGGTGGATGGGAACAGAAAAAGGACATTAGAGGCCAAGTGTGGGGGCACATGCCTGTAATCTCAGCACTGAGGAGGCTGAGGCAGGAGGATTGGTGCAAGTTCTAGGCCAGTCTATATAGTAAGATCCAGGACAGCCAGGGCTACATAGCAAAACCCTGTCTTGGAAGGGGGTTGGGGGCAGGGATGACAGCAGGGACCATTCAAGGAAATCTGAACAAAGAAGGGATTTAGTCAGTAACTGCCCTGCTTAGTTTTATGCTAATTTGACACAAACTAAGAGTCATCTGGGAAGAGAGACTCTTAATGGAGAAAACACTTCCATGAGATTGGTCTGTAGACTATTCTGCAGGCCATTTTCTTGATTAGTGGTTGATGTGGAAGCTCCCACCTCACTGTGGGTGGTACCACTCCTGGACAAATGGTCCTGGGTGTACGAGAAAGCAGGCTGAGTAAGCTATGAGGATGAAGCAAGCAGTGTTCCTCCGTGGTTTCTGGGTCTGTTTCTGCTGTCGGGTTCCTGCCTTGAGTTCCTGCCCTGGTTTCTCTCAATGGACTGTGACCTGGATATGTAAGCTGACTAAATCCTCTCTTCACCAAGTTGCTTTTGGTCATGTTATTTTATCACAGCAAGAGAAACCTAAGATATTCACAGCGTGTAAATATTGGCTCACTCACTTTGTCAGTCATATTTAATGCAAGATCTTAACAGGAAACTGAGTGAGCCATGTGCAGAAATTCTCTGTGAAGTCTGCTGTCTTTCTATTATATCCAAACTAGTCTAAAATTGGAAGTTTATTTTAAATTAATCAAGGGAACATAGTCTGAGCTATTGTTTTGGATGCAAGACAGGAACAGCAATTGTGGCTGCCGCCTGGTGTGGATCCTCTTTTGCAAGACAAAAGAGTGATAATGCCACATGATATAATGCAGATGAATAGAAATGGGTTAATTTAAGTTAGAGGAGCTAGTTAGGAACAAGCCTAAGCTATAGACCGAGCTTTCATAATGAATAAGAAGTCTCTGTGTCATCTTTTATGAGCTGGTGGCCAACGGAAAGTCCAACAACACTTGTCCGGGAAGCTGTGCTGAACATGGAATGAGGTCTGGACCACCAGGAAAGGAATAGAGTGGGAGATGCTTGAGAGCACTCCTGAGAACTGAGTGGGCAGGTCTCCATGCAACACAAATCCACATGTCAACCCAC